GGAGCTGTTCGTCCAGACTCTCACGACGACTCGGATCGAGCAGGAGGTTGCCCAAGTGGGCGGGGAGTATCTGCCGTTGTCAGTTTACGCCCAGCGTGGGTTCGATGTTACACGCATCGAGAAGGAGTGCAAGGACACCGAGGAACACAAGATCCTCGGAACTTGCTACCGCGTGGACATCAGGGGTGGCTATTCGAAAACGATCGAGCAGCTCGCCCGCGCCGAGGTGCAGGAGCTGAAAGCGAAGGCGAAGGCGCCGCCTCCGACGCAGCCGACGCAGCCAGCTCCAGGCAAGAGCGAATCAGATGATTCGGAAAGCGGCTCGAGCAAGACGAGCAGCAAGAAGGGGAAGAAGTCGAAGAAACAGAAGAAATCCAAGAAGCAGTCCAAGAAATCCAAGAAGGCCGACAAGAAGGACAAGCGCGACAGGAAGGACAAGAAGTCCAAGAAGCGCGCAGCGTCCTCGACCTCGGATTCGGATTCGGACTCGAAGTCTGAGAATGACAAGGGCCTGCAGGCGAAACAGAGGAAGCTCGAGCAAGAGAAAGCCAAACAGGCCAAGAAGAACGTTGCCCTGGCGACCCGCGTCTTGTGCAAGATCGAGAGGCCCAGGATTTCTCTTGATCGCGATCTCAAGGATCCGATGTCGAAGCACGTGCCGAAGTACGGCATCGATCCAGCCAAGAAAAAGCTCAAGGAGCTTGAGAAGCTTTACTCTGAGTTCAGGAAGGTCCACGACGAGCGTGGCATGGGGGGTGAGGTGGCGACAACGGTGGCTGAAGTGGATGACCTTGTGAAGACTTCGATCGAAGCTGCCGCGCTCCTTTCCAAGCTGCTGAGCACTGCGAAGAGCAACGTTCCGAGCGGGGACGACGTGTAGGCTCTCCCCGTCTGCGTCTGCCGTGACCGCCCGTCTTCTCACTGCCCGTCTGAGTCTCTGCGGAGACGACGTGTTAGGTCGGCGCTGCAGTCGCGCGGGAGGCACCGTGCATGCTTCCAGCCAGCTTTGGCTTCAGGTCCGCCCTGACGACGAGGGGCTGACATGACCCAGCGCTCGATTAGCCCTGCAGTTTGCCATGACGTGGGTAGTGCCACGGATGGCGCCCGACCGCGCGAGCCCCGACTGCACTTGCTAGTCTCAGGGGACACGCCGCGATCACGGGATAGCGCTCAGTTTGCAGTAGCGCTCGGGGTTAACTCACACCGACTTCAATGGGAAGTTGCTCGTGGAAAACCCATCGATAAAAAAAGCGGTTCAACCGCTCGGCGGATCATCCGCCAATCATTTTCTTCCTCTTCTCAAGCTCAGCCGCGGCTCAACCGCTGAAAAATCCATCAATCAAAAAAAAGCGGATCAACCGCTCGGCGGATCATCCGCCAATCATTTTCTTCCTCTTCTCAAGCTCAGCAGCGGTTCAATCGCTGAGCAGGTTATCCGCTAGTCGCTCATTCCTTTCGTCGGCCATTTCTTCCTCTCATCCACCGTACTTCCATTCCTCCTCCTCCTCCTCTTCCTCGGAGTCACAAGGACTTATTGGCCTCGGTGCAAGGGGGGGTGGAACGACCCAGACGACGTCGACGAGGGGTCGCGTTCCACCCCCCGAGGGTTAAAACTGCGGCCAAACTGGGGCCTCAGCTTTAACCCTCAAGCGGGCCAGGTCACCGTAGGCCATGGCGCCGTTTGTGGACGTACGCTGTCCTTTCATCTGATCGCTCCTGATCGCTCCTTCCTTGCGTTCCCCGTGCTTCCATTCCACGCCTCCTCCCGCTCCTCTCCCTCCTCCTCCTCTCCCTCCTCCTTCGCCTCGCCCCCTTTCACACATCCCTTCCCCTCACTCCCCCATCATCCTTCTCCTGCTGCTTGTGCTGATGTAGGTTCAGCATCTCCGCCCCGTCGTTCTTTCCGCAGCCATTTCAGCATCGGGCGATCGGCGCCCTGTCCCGCCTCCCGCCCCTCCACCGCTGCCTCCCCGCTCGCCTCTGTCGGCCATGGAGCCGCTCGCGAAACGGCAGAGGATCCTCGATATGTTGAGCAGGCGGAACTTCAGCGAGAGCGACGTCGTGGCGGCGCTCGCCGCGCTGGGAAGAGATGAAGCGGCGTCTCGGCGAGATGTGCGGGAGTGCGTGGATACGTTCACTGCGGACGTTCTCGTTCAGCTTACGCTGCAAAAGCAGGGTGGCGACGCCTTTGACTGGACCATCGCCAAGTATCAACTTCTCCTCCCGAGGTGTCTTGCCCAGTGCGCGGGTTTCAGAGAGGAGTTCGAGAATGCAGTGGCGAGGTCACCGAATAGTTTCGACAGGCCGTGGCGCCTGGCGCTGTACATAGATGACGTGGTGCCTGGCGATGTTTTGAGGTTGAACAACAAGCGAAAGACCACGTGCTGGTATATAGGCATACTTGAGATGGGACGCTATCTGCGATGCGAAGAGGCATGGCTGCCCGTTGGCGTGCTGCGCGCCACCATCGCTAAAGATCTGCAGGGAGGCTTCCCAGCTGCGGCCAAGGCGCTCCTGCGTTCGCTCCTGCTCGGCTCCGACAGCGTCGCCGTGGCAGGCGTCAGCGTGCCGTGCGGTGGCCAATCGCGGATTATGTATTTCAAGTTTCAGCGGTTGATCGGTGACGAAGTTGCGACGAAAGCGTTCTTCGACACGAAAGGCTTTGGCGGCATTAGGTGTTGTTCCATATCGTGCAAGAACGTAGTGAAGCTGAACAAAGATGGCGTGACTGATTCGCTCGCCGATCATCAGACTGGCACGTACCTGGTCGACGTTTCGTGCTCTGACCCCTCGCAGTTCGACCCGATGTCAGACGAGGACGTTTGGCGCGCGCACGATATTCTGGATGCCGTGCGCAGGAATGGGGGTGCGTTGAAAACGGCACAGACAACGATGGGATTTTCTTTGAACGAACACGGCGTTCTGGCCGACAAGGATCTTCGCCCACGCGTGTTTCCACATTCCTGCCTGCTGCGCGATTGCATGCACGTGTACCTGGCAGGCGGCATCGTGAATATCGAGATTGGCTTGCTTTTTAATGGTGTTGCTGAGTGTACTCCTGGTTTTTCCTTCCGTTTGCTGAAGACGTTCGCCGAGGCCGACTGGCATTGGAACCCAGGAGGGCTGACCAGGAGCGAGTTCGCTGACATATTCAACGGGTCTCGGGAGAAGGCGTGGAAATCAAGCGGTGTCTTTCGCGCGGGGGCATCTGAACTCTTGTCTGCATTCCCATTCATCAGATACTTTGTTGTTGAACACGTTCCCGCGCACAAGGTGCAGTTGGAGCGCCAGAGCTACCTCCGTCTCTGTGACGTTCTGGACAGCATCAACGAGGCAAAGCACTATTCCACGCCCGTTGCTATGAAAGATATCATGCGGCGTGCAGTTGGCCGTTTCCTTGACGCGCATAAGGCCGCGTACCGCCTCGACTCCATCGTCCCAAAACACCATTATCAGTGGCACGCTGTGTCAGACCAAGAGGACGACATATTTCTTGATTGCTTTGTGCACGAAAGGAAGAACAAGATCGTGAAGCAATCAATGACCCACATCGCGAACACGGCGGCATTCGAGAAAAGCTCGGTCCAGCAGCTTCTCGTCAAGGTGTTCCCAGCGATGGACAAAGTCAGGATGACCGAATTGTGCGAGCCCGTGGCGGTGAGCCAGCCGTTGTCCGACAAGTTTGGCCAGGTTTGCGTCGTGTCCAAACAGATGAGGTGGCGGGGCTTGCTGCTCAGAGTTGGCAGCGTGGTTTTCATTCAGAACGCGGCGGTCGAGGTTCAAGCGTGCTTGTCCGCTGGTGGCGTTCTAGCGCTTATCGTGGGAAAGCTTGCGCTGGTGCGTCGCGAGCCGCTCGGTGGGTACTCTATCTGGACTAGAACGGGACAGTCGGAGCTCCTGGTGCCCGAGGGCGCGCGCAAGGCGACTGGATGGTTCCTCAAGAGCGACAACGCGCTGGTGGTGATTCACTGAGCTCGGAGAAAATCATCTTGAAAAAAAAAGCGGATCAGCCGCTGTAGCGGATTACCCGCTCATCCGCCCCTCCTCATCATCGTGCTCACCACCGTCATCATCATCACCGTCGCTCCTCCACGTCATTTTTTGTCAGTTGGCCCAGGGAAAAAAAGCAACGGCCGCTAGCGGATAAGCCGCCACATGCGTCGCGTCCCCCCCTCCTTCCACGTCTTCCTCCGCCGCCTGCCTCTCCGCTCGGCTCTCCTCCTTCATTTTCTGTGCCGCGAGTTTTTTTTTCTGCGTCAGCCCGTTCAGGTGGCCCTTCTTAGGTTAGTTAACTTAGTTGACTTATTTGAAACACTTATTTTTTGTATATGTTGCATGTTATGTCGGATACATATCCCTAGGTATGTTCTATCCGCAGATGTTATGGACATGTCAACACCTATAAGGTACTATATTGATAATGCAAACATGTCCAGACATATAACTAGGGATCGTGTTGCTTATAACTAGGGATATCGCAGGTTATAAATCGTACAAGCTACAACAACTCTGTCGGCCATCCAAGCAGGTCCACCTGTGAGGGCCCTGCAGGGCCGGAAAGTACGCGGAAACGCCCAGCTTCAACGAATTGAGATGCCAGGACAGCAGTATAAAACGTTCCTCCGCGATTGTTGCCCGGCGCGAGCTAGTCAGCGGCGAGCCCAGTGGAGAAGTGAGAAGGGGCGGGCCTTCCCAAAAGGCCCAGGAGTCCCCCAGCCTTCAGAGAGATTTCCTAAGCCTTCCCCGAAGACGCAGAACACGCCGCCTTCTGTGAAGCAGGGCTCGAGCTCAACGGTGTTTTGGCGGTCTCTTGTCTCTTGGGCCGTGTTCGTTTTGATTTCGTTTTGCAGCACAGGCGGAACGAAGACAGACCGAAGGAACACGAAAACAAGGCGAACACGCAAAACGATGCGTGGTTCGAGCTCTGCTGCAAAGGCCCGCTTCGCCCCCCCTCCCGGCGCGCCGACGAACAATCAGTCTGGGTCCCCTGCCCTGCCCAGGCCGCGACGCGGTCCTGGCCGAGAAGGCGCGCGGCCCCCTGCGGCAGCGGCTGGTGCAGGTCCGGGCCCCCGTCGATCCGGTCGGTTCGCCTCGATGCCGATTCTGGCTGGCCCGACCCACTTCGATCCCAGGTTCCCGAGGAGCCTCGCCACGGGGGAAGCGGGTCACTGAGGGAGGCGGGTCCCGGGGTTTGTCGCCGTCTTCGGGCCCTCGGGGCCCTCCACGGTCCCAGGACTGTCAGAAAACGATTCGGGATGAAACATTCGTCCTGGGGGCAGCAACCACGGTCCAGGGCCCGTTTCCCTCAGGACCCGCTTTCCCCCATGCTACGATACGATGTGGCCCGATGTTTGCATGTTGTTGTTCTGCATGCTGGGCCATCCCGATCATTTTCGATTCCGATGTTCCGACGGTCCGATGCGGCCCGATGCTTGCCTTGCGCTGTTGTGCATCCTTGGCCAGCTAGTTATGCGCTTCGATTCCGATATTCCGACGGCCTGATGCGGCCCGATGCTTTCCTGGCGCTATTGTGCACCTCGGCTCAGCCGATCCGATTCGATGCCGAAGCCGTGCCGATACAGCCCGCTTTCCGATGCACATGCAGATTCGACTCGACGCACCAGTTCGATGCTGACTGATCCTGCAGGTTCGGGCGGGTGGTCATGGGGGGGTGACCTAAATGGGGGGTGAAGAAAATGGCCCTCAAGGGGATTTAGGGCAAAGGGACCCTCAAGGGCCCCTGTAGGGCCCTTTTCTTCACCCCCCATTTGGGTCACCCCCACTACCGCCCGCCCGACAGGTGCTGGTGACGGACCCCGAGCCGCTGATGTTCCACGGCGAGGTCGTGCTTCGCGACGGGCGGCCGGTGGGCTACTTGCGCGCGGCTTCCTACGGCCACACGCTGGGCGGAGCCGTCGGCCTGGCGATGGCGACCAGCCGGCCGCAAGACCAGCCCCCTCTGTCCCGACGAGGGGGGGCTGCCAGGGGAGGAGCAGCGGTATAGGGAAGGGATCGAGGACGAGGAGCAGGACGAGCGGCACGGAAGGGAGCGAGGATGAGAAAGGGAGAGAGATAGAGAGAGAGAGAGAGAACATGAGAAAGAGAAAGAGAGAGAGAGAGAGAGAAGAGGCAGGAAGAGAGATACGATAGAGGAGGGGTGAGGGGAGGAAGAGGATGAAGACGAGGAGGAGGAGGAGGAGGAGGAGCATTGGCAGCAGGATGACGAGCATGAGGAGGATCATGAATCACTGGGCAAGGCCAGCAATAGGAAGATGTGGGGGATGATACCGCCCTCCTCGCTCATCCGAATCGTCGTCCTCGTCCTGCTCCTCAAGCGCGCCCTTCTCGGCTGTAGGCCGTTCCTAGGGTTCTATGGGTTCGCCCCCCTGAGGTGTCAGTAGTAGCTACTTGTGAAGCGCGGCCTCCTCTCTCCCAAGCCTCCTCGCTCCACCCTGCTCCCTTCCGCCTCCACTGCTTCCCCCTGGTCCCCCCTGGCGTGCGACCCATCTCCCTCACGCCCCGCCTTTTTTTGCGGCAAGCCGTGGAGACAGAGCTTGTCCCTCCTCCCTCCCTCCCTCCTCCTCCTTGTCCCTCCCTTCTCCCTCCTCCCTCCTCCTCCCTCCTCCCTCCTCCTCCCTCCTCCCTCCTCCCTCCTCCCTCCTCCCCCTCCTCTCGGGGCCGCCTGGCACACCCCCCCACAGCTCCGAGGAGCCGCCACTCCGCGGTTCCGCGCCCCCTGGGCGACCAGCGTCGTTTTCCGAGGCCCGAGTCGACAGACGGCCCCGCATGGTCCCAAGGTTGATTTTTCAGCTTTTCGCCACAACGGCCATCCCAGACCCCCTCGAGCAATGAAAACAAAATCATGACGGAAGATTTGTCGCCATTTTCGGCATCTGGGGGCCTTTGCCGGGCCTCGGGACCGTCAAATAATAGCGACTCAGGATGAGAAGCCAGTCCCTGGGAATGGGTCGAGACCTCTCGGGTTCGACGTCATGAAAAAATCATGACGTCGGGGGTCTGGGATTACAGTGAGCCCGTATCAGAAGGATACGCGGTAAGGATGCAAGGGCCTTGGAGGCCCATGTAAGCGCTTCTCGAGCGAGGTCGGCCAGCGAGAGTGGCCAAGGAGGGGCCGAAGAGGCAAGGATGCAAGGGCACCCGTGGGAAGCTTGCCCATCCTTATGCGGGTTGACAGTGCTGGCCCCCTCCCCTCCCTCCCTCCTCCCCCAGGTAGCGTCACGAGTTGTGCCGACCTCCAAGTCGGCGTCGGCTGTTCCTGGACACTTCTGGGCACGTTACCGGCCCCCCGACCCCTTCCTCCCCCCCCGCCCGGTAGCCCTGGGAATTAGAAAACGCTCTCCGCCGAGGCTCGCCGTGCACTTCGTTCCGTATTCAGGTTTCCGCAATTATGCGCGGTGATTGCATTTCGAGGTTCAACTGAAGATCGAGCGGAGGTTGAGGATGGAGGTACCAGGATCGATGGGGGGGTCGATGATTTTGGGGATCGCTCGGGGATCGAGGATAGAACATGACAGAACGTTTTCTTCACCGTGGGCTCTTTCGTGATGCCCCCCGGGACCGAGATCGGTACAGCGTCTCCCGCAGACCTCTCCTCGGGTGCGCTCGGGCCAGGGTTCTGGCGCGGGCCCAGCGGTGTGCATCGGGGCACCCCAGAGCGACGACAGCCATCGTCGACGACGATCATATTATTTTCCGGGATAGCTCTCTGAGGGCGAGGAGTGCTTCAGATTAGAAGCCGGCAGCGCAGGGCAGGCCAGCCCCTCTCCAAGGCTTCTGGGCAGGCATCCTCGCAGCGCCCTGCTTCACCCTCCAGCGTGTTCCGGCAAGCGTTGTCCTACTCATTCCCAGTACGCGTGCCTGAAGCCTTCCCGTAGAATCATCGCAGCTCCCTCGAAGCTCCTTCGAAGCCTGCTTTCCGAAGCTTGCAAGCTCCCCAGGCATGCTTTCCAGCGTCCTGGCAAGCGTCTCCCACAAGAATTCTCTCAAGCCTGCCAGCTCACCAGGCATGCTTTCGAGCGTCCTTGCAAGCGTCTCCTACAGGCGTTCTCAGCTCTTGGGGCTGCGTTGCTATCCCCAGCTTTGGACTGCACACGCGTGTGGAGAGCCCTGGAGGCCTCGACACCCTCCCTGGCTCTGGACTTGTCATCCTTTGGGCAGTTTGGGTTGCGGCCGGAAGCTGGCCCCGCTGAGGCCAGGCATCGCCCCGGACCTCCCAAGTCACGACGTGCGTGGTTCGGGGTCTGCAAGGGCACTCCTGGCTCTTGCCAGACGCTGATATCCGACGTTGCGAACAAGACACCGGATTGCTCATCATCGCGACCGGAGAGAGACCCAATCCCTCTGCTGCATTCTTGGAGCTGGATCGATCGCTGCGGGTCCAGGGGCCTGCCCGAGACTCGGTCAATCGCCCGCAGCGAGGACAAATAGACGCCAGGATCTCATGGGAAGTCGATGCGATTGACCGCTCGCAATGAGAACGATTGGAAACACAATCTTACCGTTGTGCTATCTGTCGCCGCGCCGTTTGTTCCCACGCGCGGCCTTACGTTTTGGGGAGGGCGCCTCGGCCACCAGGGCAAGCGCCGCCACGGAGTTTTTCTTTCCTTGATTCTGGCCTGCGGGCCCGTTGATGGTTCCTGGGCGGAGGACCTACTCCTGGGGAAGGGGTCGGGAGCTCTGGGACGGCCGGTGGAACAACAACCCTATCAGAGAATGTTTAGGGGATGGCCCTGAAGGAACACAGGGGGCCTCGTGGAAGGGCCCATGGGCTTTTGAGAGCTTGTCTGCACGGAAGCCGCCAGGCCCTTCTCATGAGGCCATTTACTTCTCAGAGCGCTGCAGCCCTCGCGCCCGACGTCATGATTCTTCGCAGCGTGGCTCTATGCAGCTCGGGTCCCCGGGGACTGCGCAAAAGCCGCGAGGATGGCGGGGACATGTTTTAGGATGTAACTCCTGGAAGGTAAAGTCAGCATCGGCGGTATGTCCGTGGTCAGCAAGGCCTAATCCGGCTTGCGCAATCCCGCTCAACCAGGCCCAATCCCGCCTCGTTCAGCTCAAACCCTCACACCGTCTGGCCACACCTGGCTCAATTCTACGAGCCGACGTCACCGAGAAACTGCAGCATCTGATCTGAGGAAAAATCCGACCAGAGACGTGGATCCCATCCTCTTTGCTGCGGATGTAGTTCTGCACCCCGGATCCGCTTCTCATGGCCCGGGGGGCCGCAGGCGGCCTCCAGGGGGCAGACGTGGCAGGAGAACGCCGCGATCCCACCAGACCCCCGACGTCGCCGTGATTTTCTCACGACGTGCCCCCCAGAAGCCTGGACCCCTTCCCGGGGACCCGCTCTTCATCTCGAGTCGCCTTCTCACGGCCCCGAGGCCCGGGGAGGGCCCCTAGGAGGCCGAAAGGAGAGAGAGAGAGAGAGAGACGCTTCCCGCCGTGCGTTTTGCACGGCGCGAGGGGGTCCGGGATATGACAGCCACCAGCTCATCGGAGGTCACCTTAAGGGCTCCACGACGCGAGGCTGCCGGGGACGCCCTGGACCCACCCGGGGGGGGGGGCGCGCCGCCCCCCGCCTCTGCAGCAGCGCGCCGAGGTGAGTGCCGAGGGCGGCGCCGCGGTGGACAAGGCGTTCCTGGGGGCCGGCAGCTGGGAGGCGCGCGGGGCGCCCGCCTCGGTGCGATTCCTCCTCCGCCTCCGCCTCCTTCTCCTCCTCCTTCGCCGCCTCCTCCTCCTCCGCCTCCTCCGCCGCCGCCTCCTCCATGTCAGAACCGCGCACGTATGGATTCTAGCTTGAACCGCCGCCCAGGGGCGGACAGATCCGGCCCCACCGGCAAGGCGCGCGCGTGCTTTGGTTCTAGTTCGTTGCGTCCCCATGGGGTGGACCAAGCACACATCCAGGTCCCGCTTCGTGGGACCCAACGTGTCGTTGTGAGGTCAGGAGGGATAGCATCGACACCTCACCCCCCAGTTATCGGCCACGCAGCCGGGACAGTCTCACGATCCTGCTTCACGTTCGGGCGCGCTCAGGGTACGGTGCTTCACCCCGAACCTCCTCATGGCCAAACCAGCGCGGAAAAGAGCTGCACTTTTTTGCGGCCACTTTGGACTTACTTTTGGGTGTACCGGCGTATCCCTGAATCCATGCCGCACCGCGCCCCAGAGTAGGGCCGCACCTTCTGCTCATTCAAACGACCACAAATCGTCAGCATGGGAACTTGCAACTACCCAGATTTTCGGCGTACCGTCCCATCCGCTTCCCCCCCTCGCCACGCAATGCGCTGCAAATGTCACGGGGACGGTGCGGCACAGCAGGCGTCATAATTGTTAAAGCAGTTTGCGCCCAAACGTTAAGATTGTTAAAGCAGTTTCGGCTGAAGGGATCGCTCGCATGGAGTGCGAGCGCCGTGCGATGGAACACAGCGAATTACATTGGACACTTCGGTCTGACACGCGTCTTCCCTCGATCCAACGAGAAGTTGTTGGGCTCTGTGGAGGTCCAATTCTTCCTGTCACCCCTAGGGTGGCCTGCTGTGGCGCAGGTCCCCCATGTCAACCCTGTGGTGGAGATGGCCGCGGGTGCCCCATGTCAAGTCCTCCGCCTCCTCCTCCTCCGCCTCCTCCGCCTCCGCCTCCTCCGCCTCCGCCTCCTCCGCCTCCTCCGCCTCCGAGATTCGAAGAAGACAAACAACGGCATGAACAGAAACTTGTGGCGCTCAGCGCGGATTTCTTGGATCCGCGCTGGGCCCCCAAGGCGGCGCCTCCGGCGCCGCCCCTGGCGCGTTCAGCGCGCCAGGGAGGGGTGTCCGGCGCAGATCCAAGAAATCCGCGCGGAGCGCCAAAAGTTTGTGATTACGCAGTTGTTCGCTTCTTCGTATTATTTGTATGATTCGTCTTCTTCTTCGTCTTCTTGTTCTCCTTCTTCTTCTAGCTATAGCGCCGGCACGGGGAGGATTGGGGTGCAGACCTCCCCAGAGATCCGATGTCTGGGTCCTGGCACTTCGGGTGGCCCGAGAAGCCTCGGCCCACCCGAGGGGTGCCAGATTTTTCCTCCCGAGCCGTCTCTGGGCGGCCTGGGGCTCGGCTCAGGGCTGCTCGAGGGCGGCACCTGCGAAGCACCGCCACCTTGGCCTCCTTCGCGCCTCGGACACCTCTGGCTCCGACGCCATGGCTTCTGCCGACCGCAGCGGCTGTTTTCTCGGGTCGGACGAAAAGGGGGGGGTAGGGAAAGGAGGGGGGGGGGTACGAAATCTACTGCGTGTAGCGCGTTTCCACCCCGCCGCCAGGGCCCATTCCTCGATGCACACGGGCGCCTCCCGGCGCCGGGAGGCGCCGGGAAAATCTGCTGCGTGAGTGGATTCTGCCCCACCCCCCCCCTCTGCGATGTCCCCCCCTTCCGCCCGGCCCGCTCGCCCTCGCCCGGCGCCCCCTCGGCCTTCCGAGCCCGCGGCCCGACCGCCTCCGCGCAGAGGGCGAGCTCGCTGCCGCCTGGCCCGTGCGGGCGGGGGCGCCTCCGTCCAGCTCGTGGCGAGGAGGGCCGGTCGCTCGCCCCGCCACCCAGACAGGACTGCGTCGTGCAAGAAAGGCCGGGCGGGAGGTGCGTTGGGCCGATTTCGGCCTCGGGGGGCCCTCGCCGGGCCTCGGGACCGTCAAAGGGCGGCTCAGGATGAAGCACCGGTCCCAGGGCAGGGGTCGGGACTTCCAGGGGCCAGAAATCAGGAAGTCGTATGTCTGGGAACTCTTGTCGAGCCGGCCGTTTCCGCCAGGTTTCGGGCCCCCGGACCCTCACACATCGATGCGTCTCGAAGCATGCCGCATGCAGCAGAAAGGAGACAGTGGGTAGGTCTGGGGAGGACGGGGAACATGGGAAACAGTCAGGACGGAAGATTCTGCCCCTGGGGAGACAGGCGGTATAGGGCGGGGGCCGTGGTCGGACGGGGTTAGGACGAGGATAGCTCCGTGCCAGAGCGTTCCCGAACGCTCTCAGAGCGTTCCGGAACGCTCTGAGAAGGCCGTGGCGCCCGAGACATCCACCAGCCGCCAGATCTCAGAGATTCTCGATGCATCCTCGCCCGATGTGGTCCTCGTCCTGGCTTCGTTTTTTGCGCGGGCTAAAAACATCACCCGGGTGCTCCTCGCCATGTGTCAGGCCCTGGGACCATGGCATATCGCTCCGGCTCAAAAAGTGCAGCAGAACGACTGGGTCTGGGGCTCTGGTCGTGATTTCCAGAGACGTCGTTGGTTCTCAAAGGACGAGGGGGGTCCTGCGAGGGAGATTGGGGTCCTGGCGTCTTGTTGCGCTGCGCTCGGTATCTGGCGCAGGAGCCCCGACATCCCCGCGCCGTTGAAAACAGAGTGACCGAAGTTTTTGGCCGTCGTCGGCCTCCTGGTCCCAGGGAGGGGGCCCAGACCCCTGGGAAGCCAATGTGCGCAAGAGACGCGAGCAACGTTGGGTGTCCTGGCAGGACAGGATCCAGCCTGGTTCGGGATCGGCCAGTTCCGCGGCGGCCCGTTTCGGCCAGTTCCGCGGCCGTGATTTGGAGCGGTCCGTGGTTGCGCCGGGGAGGCGGTCATGATGTTCTGCTGTGGGGCCAGGGGGTGGCTTCGCGTGGCCGCGGCCTGGCACAGGCTCGTAAGTCCAGTCGGGCGTGGCGTCCCTTGGATTTTGAACGAGGTTCGGCATTGTCTGGCAGATCACAGCATACGTTCGGTAGCAAATCATGGGAGCCTCGTGTACCCTCGCAATTCCGTCTGTTGCGTCCATTTAGCGTCAATTAGCGTCGATTTGGCATTGATTCGCGTGGGTCAGCGTTGATTAGCGTCGGTCCGCAAGTGCCGAGATGGCATGGGAGGCTCCCATGAGTTGCCACCGAAGCATACGTGAACACTTTCCCTCACCAGCTTGTTCCCCGAGCAGTGCTCGCACTAAGAGGTTCTCAGGACTTTTCTGTGGAACTGGGCCTGGGTGTCTGCCTGGCGGGTCCGTGCTCGCCGGCGCCGCCACGTCCTCGCTTCGTCGCCGCCCGTCGTCCGGGCCTAGGTGTCGGTGTTGCGGCTCCGTGCTCGCCGTCGCCGCCGCGTCGCCGCCCGTGGTCTGGGCCTGGGTGTCGGTCTGGCGGATTCGTGTACGCCGTAGCCGCCCCTTGGCCGCCTCGTCGCCGCCCGTCTCATGGGCCTGGTTGTCGGTCTGGCGGTTCCGTGGTTGCCGTCGACGCCCCGTCGCCGCTTAGATTTAGGTTGCACAACATAGACCGCACCACGTAGACTGTCCTGTCCAAGATAGTATTAGGAACTCCCCCCTGAAATTAACGAGACCCCGCTTCGCATTGCATTATAAAAATGGTTATGCCCCATTTGCATCTTCAGAAAATGATACGCGCGCATTCGTTTATCACACATTTCGTAGTTTTCAAGGGCCCCTTGCATCAAATGAGACGAAGTGCACACGCACGCGTCGTCATGCGCGCATGCCTGAATCCTTTTCAAAAATCGAGGTAGCGTGAGGATTTCAAAATCGACTGTCCTGCAAGCAAATTAAAACACATGCTTCAAGAAAACCTGCGCTCGCGCTCTTGCAATTTTTTAGAACGCGCACATACTTGTTGTTGTGCATGTTCGCTGAATTCGGCCAAGCAGCCCTCCTGCGCTGCACGTCGAAATCATTCGAAGAGCCTTCAGCGCGTGCTGTCGCTGTAATCCCTCGCAACAAGTGGGACGAAGTGCACACGCGCGCGCGTCGTCGCGCGCGCAAGCCGGAACCCGTCACACACTTCAAGTGTCGAACAGCATTCAAAATCGGTTGCCCCGAAACCATACAAAAACACATTGTTTTGCAACATCCGTTTTCCCAAAAGCCTGCGCTCGCGCTATTCGAATTTTTCAGAAGCACACAAACTTGTTGTTCAATATTTTCGCATAATTCGGCCAAGCGCCCCTCCCGCGCTGCACGTCGAAATCATTCGGATGGCCTTCAGCGCGAGATGTCGCTGGAACCCCTCACAACAAGTGGGACGAAGTGCACACGCCCGCGTCGTCGCGCGCGCCTGCTGGAATCCGTCAACAAAAACTTAGGTGTCGCAAGGATGTCAAAATCGGTTGTCCCGAACACATATAAACTCACATGGCTTTGCAACATCAGGTTCCCAAAAAAGCTTGCGTTTGCGCCCTTGCGAGTTCTCAAGCAAACCGCAGGTTGTGCAACATGTTCGTTAAATTCTGCCAAACGGCCCTCCCGCGCTGCACGTCGAACTCATTCGAACGCTTTTGCGCGCGTGTTGGGGGTGGGCGCGATCCGCGTCAAATAATACAGTGCGTGCCACTCTCGCGCGTCGGCCGCGCCAGCATGTCGAACTCATTCCAGAACCATCATCACCGACGCGAAGACACCGTCATCGTTGTCGGCGTGATCAGCATCGGCGCCGTCTCGGGCCTTGCCGTCGTCGTTGTCACCATCGGCAGCCACATTGTTGCTCTCATGATTGTGTCTCCGTTGTCGACGTTGCCATGATACCGCGGCCGCCCCAGGGGGCCCGTTGGGAATTGCCCAGCGGTCAGCGCCACCGCGGCCGCGAGGGTCGCTAGCTGGCCGCTGCGCGCGAGAGCATGCGCGGGATAGCGCGGCCGCATGAATGCACTATACACATGTGTATATGTATGCATGTCTGTATATATACATATATACATACATTGCACGGTTTTTCATTAAAACGTGTAGCACATCCACTGCTCAACAATTACGTCGCAACATAAACTGCACAACATTCAGTGCACAACGTAGATTGCAAACATCTGTTCTCCTTTTCTGAAAAGAGACTAGACTCTACCCCCCCCCCCCCCGGACATATCGGCCCTCCCTGGGATAGTATGCTGTCATATATATACACATACATATATACATACATATCTATATATATATATATATATTCTGCACACTCGTCCATCCTCAATATGAAATCATACCATCCCAGGCAGGCCGGGTTCCCCCCCTCTGAGCTTCCCTTGAAACAAACACACTGTGCCGTTACATTTTTTGTTCTAACATAACACATGTTCGCGAATCCCTTGCAACAAATAGGACGAAGTGCACACGCGCATGTCGTCGCGCACGCATGCCGAAATCCTTCAAAAACCTTTGGTGCCGGAAGGATGTCGCAATCGAGTGTCCAAAACACATACAACAACACAGGGTTTCGCAACATTGATTTGCTGAAAAAGTTTCCGCGCGAGCTCTTCCGAAATCTTTTAAACACAAGAACCATAGTTTTTTTCAATATTTTCACAAACTACTACCAAGCGGGCTTCGCGCGCGCGCATGTCGAAATCTGTCGAACGCCCTTGCGCGTGTGCCGTCGCGAGAATCCTCTGCAACAGAAATGGGACGAAGTGCAGACGCGCGCGTCGTCGCGGGCGTACGCCGAAAACCTTCAAAACCCATCGGTTTCGGAAGGATTTCAAAATCGTGCGTCCCAAAAACCTACAGAAACCCAAGGTTTCGCAGCATGGATTTTCAACAAAAGCGTGCGCGCGAGCTCTTGCGTCGTCGTCGTCGTCGTCGCCGTCTTCCCTCGTCGTCGTCGTCGTCGTCGTCGTCGTCGCCGTCGCCGTCGTCGTCTTCTGTCTTTCCTCGTCGTCGTCGTCGTCTTGGCGTCGTCGCCGCTTCAGTCGTCGTTGTCGCCGTGGTCGTCCTTCCTCCCTCGTCGTCTTCGTCGGCGTCTCGAGGTTGTCCCTCCTATTTCGTCGCCGTCGTCGTCGTCGTCGTCGTCGTCGTGGTCTTCACTCCTCCCTCGTCGTTATCCTCCTCCCTCGTCGTCGTCGTCGTCCGTCGTCGGCGTCTCGTCGTCGTCCCTCCTATTTCGTCGCCGTCGTCGTCGTCTTCGTCGTCGTTGCCGTCGTCGTCGTCTTCCCTCCTCCCTCGTCGTTGTCGTCGTCGACGTCGCCGTCCTTCCTCCTTCTTCGTCGTTCGCGTCGTCGCCGTCTGCCCTCCTCCATCGTCGTTGTCGTCGTTGTCGCCGTCGTTGTTTTTTCTCCTCCCTCGTCGTCGTCTCCGTTGGTGACGTCGTCGTCGTCGGCGTCGGCGTCGGCGTCGTCGTCGTCGTCTTCGTCGACGTCGACGTCGGCGGTGTCGTCGTAGTCGGTGTCTGCGGCGCCGTCGTCTTCGTTGTCGCTGTCGTCGTCGGCGTCGGTGTCGTGGCCAAGTGCCATGTGGTACCTACCGTCACGGTCTTGTCTTAAGAAGTCTTGCGACCAAGTTGCGGTTGGGAGGGTGGGATGTTTGCACGAGCAGTAGAGAGGACAGTTTCAAGACGGTCAAAGTGAATTTCACCACGCAGATTGCCCCACATAGATTGGTCCACCGAGACGAGATTGCGCAACACATTTTGCTAGAGACACACATGTCCAAAAGTTCGACATGCTTCTTCTATCGTCTGCTGAGGGGTGCCGGGCCCCCCCGCAAACGCGGGCCCATCGCGGCCCCCACTCGTGGCCCCCACTCGCGCAATCGTGCAAAATCTGTTCAGGGCCTTCTGTTGCAAGGGTGTCATGTTGTACACCTTCGAGCCGCTTCTCGGCCGCAGGGCCGACAGAGAATGGCCCGGTGCAGGACGAGATATATTAGTCTTGGGGGACACGGGTCGGGAGTTCCAGGGAGCCATGCCGTGATAAATTCACCGCTTCGGGGGTCTGGGTCGGCCGCTTCCGTTGTTCCTCTTCCTGGGTCTCCTCCACGGGTCGGGCGAACGTCGGGTTCGGCAAGCGGAAATGGGGGTAAGAAGACTGCTGCAGGCAGCGTGTTTCGGCCTCCGCACGAGGCTGGGATTCAGGAGACGCCAGGGGGTACACAGACTGCTGCATGCAGCTGGTTTTCTCCCCGGCACCAGGCGCTTTCCTCGATGCCTTGGGCGCATCTGGCCCCAGGATGCGCAGCTACGCAAGCTGATTCGCCAACCCCTCCTTTATCCGTAACGGTTCCGCCCCCTGCCGTCGGCCACCTCTCTTGGATAATGGGCAATGCAAAAGCGAAATCATGAAACCTTGGCGCCGCGGTAAAGCAGAGTCGGACTTCACGCGAATACGATGGGTAATCGGCAGGACAAAATGAGATTCTGATGATATTGTTGACTTCGGGGTCGCACATGTATCTAAATTTATACAGGCTTATGGCTTTGGAGACGCGAATGCCGCGTACTGTACAAAGGTGTTTGGCTTTGGAGACGCGAGCGTTGCGTAATTTACGAGGGTTTATGGCTTCGGGGTTGCAACTATTGGGTCATCTACCCAGGTTTATGGTTTCGGAGACGCGAATATTGTGTACATCGTGAAGGTTTATGGTTTCGGATACGCGAATATAGCATAATTTGCGAGGGTTTATGACTCCGGGGACGCGAATATTAATTCATTCTTAATGGTGTATTGCATCGGGAACGCAAATACGATGTAATGTACGAGGTTTTATGGCTTCGAGGACGCGAATATTGTATGATTTACAAGCGTCTGTGGCCTCGGAGACGCAAGCATCGCGTAATTTACGAAGGTTTATGGCCTCGGTTCGGGGACACGAGCATGGCTTATTTTGCAATGGCATATGGCTTCGGGGACGCGAAGATTTAATTCGCGAAGGTTTATGGCCTCGTGGACGCGAATACTGTGTAATGTACGAGAGTTCATGGCTTCGGGGGCGCTCAAGTATTCTTACGTGTCCCACGCCCCCCCAGAAATTCCGAGAACCCTCCCAGGAGACGCTAACCAGGGCACTTTGCGGCTCCCCCCCCTCGCGCGGTCCATCAACGAGGAACGGTAAGCAGCATAAAGCGATACTGCAACAGTGGAAAGGGGAAGCTGGAACTGGCGCAGGGAACAGCAAACCCTGGCCCTGCAGCCAGGTGGCCCCACAAATGGGCCGGCGGATTCACGCACCCTTGCGTCAGGCCCGATGCCTCTTCCTACCCCTCCTGCCCCTCCTCACCCTTCGGCGTCTTGGTGGAGGTCCGTAGAGGGTCCGTAGAGGTCCCCAGGGCTCCGGCGGAGGTCTCAGGAGGTCTGGCAGAGGCGCACCACTTGCCACTGTCCTCGATCTTCGATCCCTGGCATTCTTAATCACGACGGAATGTTTACATATACTGTCGGCCTCTGCATGTTGGCCTTCCACGGGACCAGGGGCGCCATCAAAAAAAAGCCGGTCCCTGGGATTGGGTCCAGACCTTTGGGAAGCCACATTGCAACACAACATCACGACGTTGCGATGTCTGGGGCCTCCTCCTCCTCCTCGTCCTCTTCCTCTTCCACCCCCCCTGTCAGGGGCAACGCTAGCCGCTAGGGTGGGTTATGCTCAAGAGGGGATGCAGCGACCCCCAATCTTCCACTCCTCTCGCCGACAAGGGCCTGGTAGCCCACCCCGCCCAGAAGCTCGCGGAGTCCCCATCGGGGGCCTGTCGCCGATCTGTTGGAGATGTATCGCCCCAGACATGCGACGTCCTGATTTTTTCCACTGCGGCGTCCCCGGGAGTCCCGACCCTTTCTCAGGGGCCGGTGTTTCATGCCGAGTAATCTGTTGACGCTCCCGAGGAGCGGCCGGCGAGGGCCCCCCGAGGCCGACACCTCCCGCCCCGATTTTTTTACGACGCGCTCATGTCTGGGGCTGACTCCAGCTCGCGTTCCCGCCCTGGGAGCTGGTGCCCCCCCCCACTCCCCGTCCTCCCCCCCCCCCAGCGGAGGTGGACATAGCCAGTCGCCGGTACCCCGCGCGGGCGTCGCTGAGGCCCCTGTACGACCCGACGAGCGCCCGCGTCAGGTGGTAACGTGCGCCAGTTTCCGCCGAGCGCGGGGGGAAAGGTCGCGCCGGCGACCGCGAGGATGGACGACCACGGGACGGCGGCAACGGCGGAGGACGACGTTGAGGACGACGGCCAAGAATTTATCGGCGGCGAGGCGGGGCGACGACGCGCGACGAGGGCGAGCGACGACGAAGAATGCTGACGTTGGAGCTGACGAGGGAGCAGGAGACTAGGGACGACGAACGAAAACAAACGAAGAATATGACGATGAGCGCCGACGAAGACGATGATGGACGATCGACGACGAACGAGGAAGATGACAACGAACGACGGCGCCGAGGGACGACGGCCTCGACGACGGCGACGAAGACGGCGACGGCAGTGGCGAGGGCGACGGCAAAGGCGCTGGCGGCGACGATGTCGACGACGACGGCGACGAGAGCTGGTCGCGGCGGGAGTCTGCTTGCGGGGCCCGGCCGGGGCCGTGTCTCGTGGCGCGCGGCGGTGGCGGAGGTCTCGTCCTCCCCCTCCTCCTCCTCCTCCTCCTCCTCCTCCTCCTCCTCCTCCTCCTCCCCCTCCTCCTCCCTCCTCCTCCTGCTCCCTCCTCCTCCTGCTCCTCCTCCTCCTCCTCCTCCTCGTGCCGCGCAGCGGTGGCGGAGGTCTCGTGGGTCCTCGACCCTGCCTGTAGGCAGATCTCATCACGGCCGACTGCTCAGGAGGCTCGCTGGAATACTCTAGGCCTCATAGATGGGGTCGGAGTATTCAGATGTGGTCAGAGGATCCCTCCGCATCGCCGATGCATCGGCGATGCGGCTCGATGTGGATCCCGATTTTCTTCACGCCGACGTCGCCGACGCATCGCCGACGTCGCCGATGCATCGTCGATGCATCGTCGATGCACTGGTGATGCATCGGCGATGCGGCGGGATTCTCCGACCCCATTTACTCGGACCCCATCTGGGAGTCCTCGAAATATGATGGGGACGCGCATCCAGAAACTGACTGCTTTTCTTCCGGGTATCCTGGGTTTCTTCGCTACGCGCGCTGCGAGGTGGCTTCGCGTGGCCGTTGAAGGAGCTGCTGCATTCAGGGTGCTCTGGACTCTCTCCCACTTTCATCTCGCGCCTGCGGGTTTCAGGGCTGGGTTTCTTGCGTGGGTTTCTTCTGGCCGCGCCCGCACTGTACAGTCAGGACCTTTTGCTTAGCTTATCGCGCTGCCGTTGATCCTTCTGTCGTGCCGTCGTTCGTCCGTCGTTCGTCCGTCGGCCGTGCTGCCGCCACTTTTCTGTCGTCCGTCGTCCATCCGCAAGTCTTGCCATGATTTTGCTCTCTGCCACAGGGCTCCTCTTTCGCTGGTAAAGATGTGTCGCGTCCCCGGCTCTGGCCCGCCACGCTTCGGGGCGACAGGTTACGGTAGGTTCGTGTCGTGTCGACCGGTGGCGACCCCGCCAGCGGCGTTCAACGTGGAACGCCGCGGGCGACGGAGAATCGTTTGATGTGGAACGACTGGAACGTTTCGGAAACGGCCGATGGTTCCATGTTGAACGGTCCCCGCGGCGTCAGAGACCAGTCGGCACGACACGAACCCGACGTACCCGTTTCCCAATGCCTGGGCGTCGACGTCCCGAGCCTTTCTCAGCCAACACGCCCCCCGCGTAGCGGAGACATGCACGCTGCCAGCCTGCACGGCATACCGCGTGTCGCTAGGGCTGCCGCCGCGATTCGCCCAGCCAAGGTTGCGGACTGTGGTCCCAGACGTGATCGCGTCGTAAAACAATCAGGACGGGAGGTTTTCGCCAGTTTTCGGCCTCGGGGGGCCCTCGCCGGGCCTCGGGAGCGTCAAAGAACGGCGCATGACAGAAAATCTGGTCCAGGGAAAGGGTCGGGATTTCCAGGGGACGCCGTCTTGAACAAGTCAGGCTGTCGCATGTCTGGGGGCCGTAGTTGTTTCCTGGTCCCGCGTCTGGAGGTCTGTTTTTGGAGCTGGAGGCCGTCCAAAAAGACGGCCCGTGATTGACCAGCTACACCCGGCGAAGGGGTCGGGAGCCCGAGAGGACCACGTCACCGAACAAGCACGTCTGGGAGGTTCTCGCGGCGATCCAGTGTTGACGACCCCACTGGCACGATGCGCGGTGCATTGGTGGCGTCGGGGCAGCGGGTCATGCCGTCTGCGCCGCCGCCGCCGCTGAGGCCGCTGCTGCCGCAGCAAGCGCTTGCGTCGCCATTGCGGCACGTGCCGTCGCCGCCGCCGCCGCTGACGTCGCAGACGTCGCCAGGCGCAGGGGCCCCTCGGCAGCGCGGGATCCGCCGTGATGGGCTTCTTCGCGCAGGCGGTGGAGCTGCCGGCGGAGGGGGTCAAGGCGAGCCCCCCGGCCCCCAGGCAGGGTCTCCTCCGCGCGCAGGGGGAGCAGGCAGAGGCCCAGTCAAGGCCACAGGCTGGCCCGTGAGCGGGCGGGGCTATGGCGCACGGGCCCGAGCGAGCGCGCGCACGCGGGAGAGCAGGCATGGTGCCTCCGAGAGGAGGGGCAGGAGGGGGTCACGAAGGACGAGGAGCGGCGAGGCAGCCCTCACGCTTGGATGCAGTGTGCGACGGCGCAGGGGCAGCCGGGCCCATCTCGATCCGACCGGCACCCGCTCGATGTCGACCTCGGCGGACGCGCGGCAAGGGCCCGCCGGTCCTGCCGCGCTTGGCTTCGGGAGAGGAGCTCGGAAGCGCGCGGGCAGGGCTGCCCGGCTGCAGCTCGGGCGAAGAGAACGATGCACATGCACCGATCCTGACACCGCCCATCCTTGACCCAGGATCGGTGCATATACCTTCCTGGCCAAGGTAAGAGGGCGTATGCACCGATCCTGGGCTCAGGATGGTCCTGGCCAGAATCGGTGTATGTGCATAGTTCTCTTTCCTCTAGCAGCAGCACCAGGTGCAGCCAGGAGAAGGCGCAGGGAGGCGAGGCCCGAGGGAGCAGCGGGCCTGCCTTCTGCGCGGGAGGGCGGCGCGCCCCCCCGACGCGATCTCGATTTCGGTTGGAGGTCCCGGCGCGGCCCGATGGCTGCGTGGCGGCCCGTGGTGCCTCGTGGCGCGGCCATGTCTATTCGGTTCCGTTTCAGTGCCGATGCAGCCCGATGCCATGCACGTTCCTTCTGCCATTCGCACAAGGGGGTACGGGGAGGGGGGACAGATTCTTAGAGGGAGGCTGCGTCTTAGAAGGCGCGGGTTTACATATACATATAAGTACATTTGTATATATATGTAGTTATATATGTAGACATTTATATAGATGTAAGGCCCACGCCTTCTGAGAAGCTGGCTCTTTTCAAGAAGCCTTCCCCCCTCCCCGTACCCCCTTCTGCGCGCCGACAATTTCTATCCCAGTCGAATATGTAGAGTCCGGTGCTGGCCGCTCCAGACTTTCATCGCCTCGCATTGATCGAGGCGGCTGGTTTGGCGTTGTTCTGAGCCATCGTGGGCGAGTCAAATTACGAGTGGGCGAACAGAAGCACGGGTTCGACTGTGTGGGCGTTCGCGCGTGAGTTGCCCGTGTAAGGTCGCGCGTAAGAAGCCTCGTTGCCAATGAGGCCTGCCGCGCTGGCGGCCCGTGTAAGCCACCGCGAAATGTCGCTCGGGTGGCCTTTGGGAAGGAATCTAAAGGTCTGGGGGCACAAACATCGAAGCGTCGTATGTCTGGGTCCAGCGCCGACCCACGAAATCCGCGCGGACCGCCTTGTTGTTTGTTGCCCAGGAAGTGCTTTCTCTAAGCGTGTCTCATTATATTGCTAAGCAATGGGGTAACGTTTCCTGGTCTCCCCACAGTGGGCACCCGTCGCCACCTAATCGCGAGCTCGTGCGCTGGCCGGCGTGACCGGGTTTTCGCCTTGCGACGGCGCCTGTCGCCGCACAGTCGCCGCAGCCTGCGGTGATTAGCGCTTCGGGTTGTCTTGTTGCACCAGATAGTCAGCACCAGAAGTGCAGTGCACAACATAGATTGCACCACGTGTAGTCTGCACCACATACAGTCAACCCGCATAGTAGGGATGGGCCACCTTCCAAGGGGTACACTTGCACCCTTGCCTCCTCGACCCATCCTCGGCCGCTTTTGCTGGCCGCGCCCAGCTCGCAGAGTGTCGACACGTGCGTCCATGGCCCTTGCATCCTTACCGCGCATCCTTCTGATACGGGTTGGCTGTAGACTAGGACTGCACCACATGTAGGTTGCATCACATGGGCTCCGTCATACAGCACGCACATCGCAGAGCTTTTGTTTACGGGTCTGGCGATAACCCAGGATCTCCAGGCTCGCCGCCCCCCCTCCGGATAGGAAAACCTCGTCGGCTGCAGTGCCGGTGCGAGCTGCCATGCGCGGGGCAGCCCAGAAAGCGAAAAGATCAGGTCATTTGCCCGCACTTCCCCTACCCCCAACGGATGACCCGGGCTGCATCGCTGAACAATTAGAATCAAGGCCCCGTAGATGGGGTCCGAGTGATTAGGTGGGGTCGGAGGATCGCGCCGCATCGCCGATGCATCGCCGATGCGGCTCAATGTAAAGCACTGTTTGCTTCACTTCGACGTCGCCGAAATACATCGCCGACGCCGACGATGCATCGCCGGGGCATTGCCGGCACATTGCAGATACATCGACGATGTATCGGCGATGCGGCGCGATCTTCCGACCCGATCTACTCCGACCCCTCTTGGGAGCATATGAATTTCTCGCATCCCACAGCGTGCATCCGGTGGGCTCCACCACGTCGCTGGCGCCCCATGCGCTGCACCTCAGACAAGTGGTGCCTGGCCGGCAGAGCCCCCGCCGAGCGCCAGCGAGAGGCGCGCGCGGCGTGCCGACCTTTCGAGCACACCGCGCGCCAGGCCGCGACATACGCAGCACCCCGCGGGTGCGGCTGAAAGCGAGGCGGGCGCGGGGTTGGGGTCGCTGGGGGGGGCGGTCTCGAAGAAGACACAACGGCACAAGCATAGGCTCGTTGGCGCTCCGCGCGGATTTTCTTGGATCTGCGCTGGGCCCCCCCCCTTCCGGCGGCGCCTCCAGCGCCGCCCCTGGCA